ATGGACTTGATTTGACCCTTAAATTCTTGAATTTTCTTTTAGCCTTTTTGACATAGCCTTTTCGCTGAATCTGAGAGAAATTCTCAATGAATCAACTCACTTAGGCACTATGAATTACATTGTTTTGGTTCTCGGTGCATCATCGCTTTTGTATCTCATCATGATGCGCGTTTCACTTATAAGTTTTGTGAAGTTTTTGTAAAGGTCTTGAGTACTAAGTTGTTTGTCATGTATCGCATTTTTATTTACAGGCTATTAGACAATCTTGAACGAACTATATAGATCTTGAAAGACGTGTTGCGTACTTTTGAATTGTGGTTTCTAAATGATTAGATTTTGAATCAATCTCTTTTGGAGTAGTTATGACGATAGTTTTTATTTTCAATTTGTGTATGGCACTATTCAATACTTGGTATGGTAGATTCTATTAGCAACACTAGTTGGACAATGGAGTCCTGCAAATTGGTGTTTGGATGTTTGATTTCTTTTCGTTATGGGAAACTGTGTACTTATGTTTTTGTCAACTTGTGTTTGGACAAGTTGGTATGTTTGCACCTTTAGGAAATTACTACTTGCTTAACGAGACAACAATGTGTTGTCGATATCGCGGGCGGCCGACTGTAATATCGATGACATATTCGTTGGGTTCGTTAAGCAAGTGGGCAGGTAGACCCGTCTATGATAGTGGTTACTGTTTAGTTATTGTTGGGGCTCGACCCAAAGACACACATCTGTTCTCAGAGTACGTGACGTTTCAAACGCTTAGGCGAGACCCACTTTCATTTTCGATTTTAATTTTCAATACAAGGATTTTAACTTACTTATTATAGTTATATTTTGTATTTTTGATGCTACAAATGTTCAATTGAATCTTTTCTAGTTTCAGTTTTAAGTTCAATACCAGTTTTCGACCTATATGTTAATACATATATATTTTGACGTTGTCGTATTTTACATACATACTTTTGACTTTACATTATTATGTATTTTCGACCGTGTATCTTTATAAAATATGCTTCTACTTTTACATTGATGGGGGAAGAATGTATGAGCTTGGAGGCATGAAAGAGGATCATTGCAACCCGATCATGACGGTGTGGCATATTCCCTTTTATGCAACCGCCCTAACTTGATTTCTTCGCTACACATATATATTTTTTTCCTCTTCCTATCTTCGAGTTTTGTTTGGCAAGCTATTTCAAATTTCGGGATGAAAGTTTATTTAACGGGGGTAGATTGTGATAACCCGTCCTGATTAATTTTACAGGTTTTGGAACGAAGTGGTACTTTTGATATTTTTAGTGGGGTTGAAAGATGTTGTGATGGGAATTTTTTTTGGGCTTTAAATGGTGTGCCCAAGGAAGGCCCACCATTGATTTTTGTCCTCCGATCACCCTTATCCTTCGCCTGCCATGTGGCATTCTTCTTTTCTCTCTCACTCTCAGATCCCTCTCTCTCACAACTCATTTTTTTCTCTTCCTCTCAAACTCCCCCGAGCCTTCTCCCTCGGACCTCTCACTCTCACTCTCTCTGACAAGCCTTTCGAACCACCACACACACTTCGCAGCTCCTGCAAACACCACGAACCACCACCATCCTCCAGCTTCTTTCCTGCATCTTTGAAACTCGATGAAGACGAAAGAATCATCGAGCTTCGGTATGACAGAGGACTCATGCGTGATTCCTCAATTTTTCGATTAGGGTGAGCTTTGGAATACTTTAAACTTATCCATTTTTGTTCTTGGGGTTTAATTCTAACCTAGATTATGGGTTTTTGGAACAATAAGATAGCATAGAGATGCCTTGAAAGCTTTTCTAGTTTTCAGCGAGAACCTGGCGAATTTCGAGTCACTTTCCGACCAACTCCGACCACTACATGCCTTGGAATTGGTATGAATCGAATCCTTGTCTCCCTAGCTTCATTTTGGTATATAGCATGTTAGGGCTAGTTGTGAAATGGAGCTCGACAGCTCCCCGGCCGATTTTCGACTTTCTTCTTCTTTAGGTCCGGTGACCCACGAACCTAGGCCCAATTAAGTAACCCAGCCTAAACTTTGGGCCATGTGAACTCGACCCAAACCCATTGGCCCAATCCCTCTATCCACCAGCCTAGGCCCAAAACCCAAAACCCAAAACCATTAACCTATTACCTAGCCCAATTTACTAAACCAGGCCCAACCCAAGAACCGGGCCCAAGTCCTTAACCTATTAGTCCCAACCTAGAAACCCAAAACCCTAACCAGATCCAACCCAACTCGTTGACCCGACTCAAACCCACATTGACCGACCCGTTGACCGTTGACTTCCGATTAACACTAACCGTTAACCGGTCAATGTTGACATTTTGTTAACTTTTTTTCGGATTTCAGTCAGGACACCTTCTAGGCTAATTTCGACGTCCTAGATTCGTTTTTTACGTCTGTTTTCTGAAATGTAATAAATATGTTAGAGTTTTATTAATTGGACCGTATATGTGCTTAAGTGCACTTATTGTGACATTTCCATCCATCCTTGTTTGCACGGATCTTCGCCAACGGTGTAAGGTGAGTGAACCCTTTCTAAATTGCATATTTTACTATTAGAAATGCATACATGAAAAGCATGATTTAATGGTTACGTTTTACAAAACGTTTATGAGTAAATTAGATTTTATTTTTTATGAGATATTCATGCTTTATCGACTTTACGTTCATTGTGGTATATATGATTGATGACTATATACCTACTTACGAATGTGGTTTTACCATATGACGTTTTAGCTACTAAGCTCCGATCTGATATATATATATATATATATATATATATATATATATATATATATATATATATATATATATTAGAAATTTAAGTTAATGTTTAATGTTTTTATGTACTTACTTAGCGGTTATTCATACGATCTGCCTATGGATGAATGATACTTATATGCCTTCGGGTGGGTGTTGTGGGAGCCTATGGGCAATTGATACTTGCTTTTGGGTGGGTGCTGTGGGTGCCTACGGACGATTGATATTTATATTGGCTACAGTCGGGCGTTGGTAAGAGCCTACGGACGAGAGATGTTTATATTGGCTACGGCCGGGCGTTGGTAGGAGCCTACGGGTAAGAGATATTTATATTGGCTACAGCCAGGCGTTGGTTGGTGCCTACGAGCGGAAGATATTTATATTGGCTACGGTCGAGCGTTTGGTTGGTGCCTACAGGCGACTGGCTACGGCCGGGCGTTTGGTTGGTGCCTACAGGCGATTGATATTTATATTGGCTTCGATCAGGTGATGTAAGGGCCTACGGGTCAAAAGATACTTATATTGGCTTCAACCGGGAGATGTAGTGCCTACGGGCAAATGGTACTGCTTACGGGCGAATTATCTGTCTACAGGCGCGTGATGTAGAACCTTCAGATGAATGAAGAAGTGTTCTATATGCCTTCGGGCGAATGAAATATTATATATATGTTTATACCTTATATATATACCACTACTAAACAACATATATGATATATGTTTTATGAAAGGTTTTATGACATGCTAGGGTTTTCGAAAAACCTACTACTTATTATGCTATATGAGTTTTCATAAATTTTGGGGGTTAGTACGTTAAAGATTAACTGTTTTATCACTACTTATATATCAACTTGGTCCACTCATGTTTTGTTTTGCGCCCTCTCAGGACTTAGAATTAAGGCGTACAATCCCCGCGTCAAGGCACTCCCGCATCGGCATCTTCGAGTCCTCTCGGTGTAGGACCCATCCTTTTGTTCATTCAATTTTTATATTATTTCCCTTCTAGTGTTTCGATTTAGTTGTATGCTCTGAACACGTTCCTCAATTGCATAAGCATTGTATTTTAAATTTATAAGTTTTATTTGTGTTCATTACTTCGTATGCATGTTAGTATGGCTTCGTCACCTTCGAGTGTCGGCCAGTACGTGCCTACCTAGGATATTTGGTGGAAATCGGGGTTGGGCGTGTCAATTAGAGCCTACCAAGTTGTGGCATCATGCCCAAAGCGTGATCCTTAGCACCTAAGACCTAAAACTTCAAAAATAAGGAATATTGTTCCCGAACCTAACTCTGCAAAATCTACTTTTCTTGTAATAAAAGAAATAATTGGTTAAGCACATGTTCGTGCCTTTACCAATGTCGTTGAGGAGTACCATTCTCGTACTCAATATGTGAGACTAATTTTGCTCCACCAAACATCATTGGAAGTGCAGAATTTTGACATGAATGGCCATGTTGACCAAATCCACCTTAGTTCATGAACATTTTTCTATGTTTTTGGATTCAAGTTTGGTGTTTGTTTTAGCTATAGTTAATCTTATCGATATTGTCCTCGAATATGAGTTAATTGAATCATGTTTTTTTTAATACATGTGACCAAATTCAATTAAACATGTGATTAGGTATGAATGTGAGAAAGATAGTTGTCTGGATGAATGAGATACTACGCACACAAACTTTATACCTAAATCACACATCTGGCAATGATTTCAGGTCTATCCAACCTAATTAAGAGCATTGGCACACTTCTCGTTGTATGAATGGTACTAAATTACTATTTATGAGACCTTATATTCACCCCGTATCGGAAGAACGCCGTTGATTTTTAAGGATATTTGAGATAACGTTGATCATAAATGAAACCACAGATGGAAAATAGAATGGAATATATTTGCACCACCTCCAAAATACAAAGCCCGAAGCCATATTTTTTGGGTCAATGGGTTGCCTCCCAACTGGGATGTGCCACATGTGGCAGACCTAAAGTCTGGTGATTCGAGCAATTTACTTGCTTTGGAATAAATGCATAAAAAAATTAGCGTTTGCTTATTGTTTCCTTCAAGTAAACGAAATTGTTAGTAGCATTCCAAAAATATTATTTAGCACTCCAAACTTTCTATAATTAAAAAGAAAATACACTTGAGCAGACTGTAGAAAGAAAATTTAGACCCCGACCCGCTCTAATAAAGAAAGAAACTTTAGATTTGCCAAAAAAAAAAAAGAAACTTTAGACACTTCCGGAAACCTCCAACGATGTGAGTAACTTCTAACACTTTCTCCGACTGACAAAACTCTCTAAGAACCAGAGAAAATAAGAAAGGGAAGCAACTAATTGTTAGAGAGAGATGTCAGAAAACAGAGTCAGGACGATAAAGCTGCGCTGCCCATCGGCTGCGAAAACGGCGTCATTCGCTGCACAGGAGGAGCAGAAGCTGGACCTGGGCTCCATAGCCAGAGCATTCGGGGTGGACCCACAAACGCTGAAGCTCAACGGACACTTCATCGGCAGAGGCTCCGACCTCATCGCTTCCTCGGTCACCTGGAAGTCCCTCCTCTCTTTCTTCTTCACCAAACGACTCCCCACGGGGGAAGACGACGCCAACCCCATCGTCGTCGACGGCAAGCTCTGTAGAGCTGGCACCAAGAGTGAGTAAATACTACTAAACCACTGCTTGTTTATGCGTTTTGGGCAAATGGGTCGGGTCGGATTCGATTGTTTCTTCTTTAGGATTGAAAAAGATTGAATCTTTTTGGTTTTGCAGGAGTTGGGTGTGACGTTGTTGATGATAGCAGAGGAAGAGAGGCAGAGTTGGAAGATGGGGAATTTTTGGGGATGAAGAGTAAAAAGATGAGGACGACTAGCAATGTTGGAATTTGCTCCAAGAGGAAGCAATTGTTGGAGGATGTGAAGTTGCTCAAAAAGTTGAAAATTAGTGAAACCAACCCAGGTATTTGTTAGCGATAGATAAGCACTTTGTAATCTGGATCAAGTTTTAATTTGTTTTCGGAAAGCTTGCGTATTGATACTCTGTTACTGCATATCATGACAGTTAACAATATTGACATTATTGAGATGATATCGATACAAAGAGAGAATATTTCCGAATTTTTTTGGAGTGGTTTTTGGTTCATCTTTATGTTATTTAACTGGCTTTGTTAACCATTCAACCAGCTTGATGGATATTTTCAGATATTCAAGGAAGCAGTAATGGACTGTGCAAGAGCATCGCGAGCAACCACTTCAGTTGCAGTTATATGAGTGGGAGTATGAAGAGGATGACAGAAGATGAGGCAGGTGTGGCTTCTCCTTGCAAAAAAATTAGATGAGGTTCTCATGTTTGTTTGTTCTTAGTTTCCATCTATCTGGTGTCTCGTTCTCGTGCGCTACCTGTGATCATTCAGCCCAGTTGGGGTTCTTACTATAGTAGTAACCTATCTCATATTGGGGAGAATCCTCGATCACTCTAGAAATTTCACAAGCGAAGAAAACTCGTAGCGTAGAAAAGAAAGGACAAATTGTTTTGATTCGAGGCGGATCCCTTTTGTGTTCCCTATTTTCCTTTGTTATTCTGGGCCAGATACACTTGATATTACCTGTAAGCGTTTGATATTACTTGTAAATGATGAGAATATAATGCAAGAATAAGTCATATATTGGTTTCATTCACTCAGCCTAAAGTAAAAATAAAACGGATGCGAAAATCAAACATAAAATTCATACTCTAGGTTGAAACTTTCATTAGCCTTCAAATTGAGTTAAAAGATATCAAACATCTATAGACATGGTGGATGAAATATCTTATGAAACCAGGGTTACCACACTTGCTTCGGGGTTTCACGGTCTCTGCAGCGGTGGTGTAGATGTAAGCGATCACTGATTCTCCGGCCAAGCTTCATCAGGTTGGTACGGAAAACTGACTCAGAATGAAGATGTTACCATTCCAACTGCAAGCAAACATCAGAAGCTGTTAATTGAGTAACAAGCACAAAGACAGATTCCTGAGCACTAGATATTTCACTTTCTTTCTGCAAATGATCCAGTTGAGCAACTGGTCTCCAAGCTGAAGGTGACGTGGTAAGCACACATCTTCCACTGATCTTCCTCCTGAAAATTTGAATTCAAGGACCAGCTTGTATGTAATTTTGTTTCATGGGAATAAGTCGTAACAGTTCTCTAACTATCGGGTTCTACAACAACTATAAGTGTTTGCTGAAGAGAAATTCCTGAGCCTACCCCCTCTGATTCAAATTCACCAGCCCAAGCGCAAACGCTGTAAAGGTCGTACCCAGTGCACAAGGCTCCCGCTTTACACAGGGTCTGGGAGAGGTGAATGTCGGCTAGCCTTACCCCCATTTTATGGAGAGGCTGCTCCCAAGTTTCGAACTCGAGACCTACCGCTCATGGGCGAAGGCACTTGCCATCGCACCAAGTGCGACCTCTCCAAGCGCAAACGCTGTGAATGATAAAATTCTTTGTACATGGATGGTCTATCCGTTAATGCAGAAAGCCAGCTTTATCTCTACACAGGAGCTTGAACCAGAAAGTTAGCTTCTCGGTAAACAGCCTTGCGGGGCAATGTACCATACCTCAAACTGCCTGGCACCGGGCGATAGGTCCCCCCCCCCATTCAGGGCCAAAATATGTCGTAGACGATTCCAAGAAGTTGATTGATGCACAAAACCGAAAGAGCATGGGTTAAATTCTTCCAAGAGTCATCCACCTGTTAGTGAGAGAAATCAAAGACAGCCCACAACCCAACTCCAGAATGCTAGGCAAAGTTGCTTGCTATGGGATCAAACCCACTCTAGTGATCATATCCAGCAGCCTTGTGTGAAAGATAATTCCATTTCCTTAATGTGAGACTTCTGAACCTGTCCAACCAAGGCAGCTTGGGAAAAAAATAAACTAGTATTCATTTTCATTAGTAAGTACAGGGTTAAGTTCAATTCTCGCTAAAAGCGAATTTGAACCACATTATTGCTACCTCATTATGAGGGCTCACATTATCTTCCTTAGTGTAGATAATATTGTTTGTTAAAAACAAATCACACTAGTAAAAAAAGTTTTAGGTTCAATTCTCGCTAAAAGTGAATTTGAACCACATTATTACTAGCTCATTGTGAGATTAAGCCCACATCTTCTTTCTTAATGTAGATAATATTATTTGTTAAAAAATCAAATCATAAAAATAAATTGTTAATTGAGCATTGGACCCAAACGAGTAATTAGCTTACTAATGGGAATGAAGGGGTAGTACAATAGTACATGATGAGTTTTGCTCTCTTAAACATCAAAAGACAACAAAAAACGGTTGCGATTTAATCACTCTTGAAATATGATGTGCCGGAGTGCTATTAAACATTTCTTGTTTATTTTGATTTAGAGTAAATAGCATAAGTGGTTCTTTAACTTTAATTCAATTAGAACAATGATTCCTCAACTAAAAATTTATTACCATTGGTCCCTCAACTCACCAAAACATTCAACTATAGTCTCTCAACTAAAAATATATTACCATTGGTCCCTCAACTTTAATCCAATTGGAGAAATAGTCTTTCAATTTTAACTCAATTGGAGCAATGGTCAGTTAACTTTAATCCAATTGTAGCAATGGTTCTTCAATATAACTTATTTTGACAAAATTATGACGAAGTTGACGAGAATGACCATAGCTACATGTTTTGATAAGTTGAGGGACCCCAATTATAACAATGGTCATTCCAATATAACTCATTTTGACAAAATTCTAACAAAAATGACAAAAATGACCATAGCTAGACATTTTGATGAGTTAAGGGATCAATTGTAATGAATTTTTAGTTAAAAGATCATTACTCTAATTTAATTAAAGTTGAGAAACCATTACTACAATTTATTTTTTTATTTGTTATATCGATATATGTAAGAAAAACCTACTGTTATTAAACTGTGCCTATGGATCGTGGCCTTTGTCCCTTTTTCTAGGGGTGAAACTTCCTCAATCTATCCATTCAGATCGCACTCTGGTTTCCTTGGAAAACCAGCTGAACAGTAGTCATACACCAAAAATCTTCTAATATCCTCGTATTTTTGTCGTTCGTTGGAGTCAAGTTCCCAATGCTTCCTACTGTTCCACCAATATCTGTGCCCATAACAGTCTTTGATGGAGTTCTGTGGTGTGCAGCCGTTTACGTCAAATCCTTCATAGTGAGCTTTAAAAGGTGCATATCTCCAATCTATATCTGCATCACGAGTTGCCCACTCTGCGTTCCACAAGCTTGCTTGTATTTTCATTGGTTTTGATATGTAGGGAACTCCAAATTTTTTGTTGTTCTTGAAAATCCTAATTGGGAATTTGTCAACATAAAATCTACAAAACGTATAAAAGAGAATAAGTTAAATAAGTGAAATGTTAAGTTGTTAGACCGTGAATCAAATTACCCATTTTTAACAGTTTTGATTCATATATAGTAACTGTCTAATAATGTAAAAGACATATGATGACGGGAAAAACAATGTGGATGTGACTATTACACAATTTCATGGTGGTTGTAATGAATTTTTGTAGTCGTGATATATTTTTTTTATTACCAATAGTATTTTACACTATTCTACACAATATTTAATGATGGATCTAATGAATCTTTCTACTCGGGATGGTTTGTTTTATTATTATTATAAGTGGCATTCTACACTAATTTACAGTAAGGAAAGGAGGAGAGTTGAGACGTAATGAGTTAAATGAGAAGACTCAACCACCAAGACAATTCACCACTTGCATGTAGTTGTGATAATTAGTAGTGGGGTAAAAGAAAGAATAATGCTATAATAGAGATAGCATAAACATCGGGGTAACATAAACAATACTGCATGTGAAACCACATATATTAGACACAGCAAATATGCTAGTTTTCTGTGTCAAAACAGCATTACTCGAATAACTAGATCTGTGAATTAAAATCAAGAATTTAGATTAGTTATGTGTAGTCTGACAAATGCAAATAACATTTGATGATTGCGAGGCTAGCTAAGACATGGAGGATGTGATTCTTACACAATTTGATGGTGGTTCCAAAGAATTTGGTAGTCATGATACTCAGTAGTGGGGTCAAACCAAAATGTCATGGTTTCCTCTCTACCGCCCTGACCATCTATAAAAACATTTGTCAGCAAGAATTTTTCCCCCCCTGGTTTGCTTCCCAAAAGCTCAAAGTCCAGCTCATCCTGATGAGGTTCATCGCCTGAAGTTAGCTGCATATACATATATATAATTATTAATGCACATTACCAATGAATATTTTGCCTCGATCGGCCATATTTTGGGACAATAATATTAATTCATGAAGAAAAAAAAGAGAATGGATGGAATAATATTCACATAAAAAGTTGTGCAAACATCAGCAGTATTCCAGGCTTCTGGTAATCTAATCCTCATGTGAAAGAACCCAGAACCATAGCTTAGCTTGGATATAACCCTGCGCCTGAAATGTGCAATGTACTTAATAAATCAAATATTTATCTATTTAATTTAAGATAAATAAAGGAAAGAGAGAGATAAATAATTATCCTTATTTATGGTTACCCTCGATCTATAAAAGTCTTCAAGAGAGTAAAATCTCACATGTTCAACTTTGTTTTTCTTAATTTCTTGATTAAGGTGGGTATGATGGACCTACTACAGTAGTCAAGAATCAATCAAAATAACTGGCTTTGTGGTTTCTTTCTCATAACATGCAATTGATACTAAATGTTAAAGTTGACACAGTAAACACATAAAGTTAATTTATCAGTCTTAATTTACTTCATATTTAACCATACTTTGGTGAAGAAATGAAAAGAAATCAACAAAAACAGCTCATGAAAAGGAAACAAAAGTATTTGTTGGTGATTAATCATGCATGGGGAGAGATTTTCATTAGTCGAAGAAAATATGGAAATGATAATGAGAGATATATTATTGGCACTTTGTAATTAAGGTCATTATACACTTCTTCATTTATCCCTTGTGTTTTTAACAAAATTAGTTCCTGATGACTTTTTTTGCATTGCCAATAACGTCGCCCTTGATAATAATCCGAAGTAATTCCTTGAAATGCTGGAGTTCTATCTCTCTTGATTCAAAGAGGAAAAATGAGCATGATATATACCATTACCATGTGAGCGTTTATAGTTTATATCGAAAGCTAATGTCATGGCTGGTTACACTCTTGCAAGTATCCGAGCAACATGTAGAAGAAACGCACAGAAACGCATCAATAAAAACAGCCATTTTTAGAAGGGAAAAAAAAAACCGAAACTACTACTAATCAGTGTTTTCAAATTTTTATTTTTATTTTTGACAAACGATAGATAATCAACCTTAAATTATATGACTGTGGAAAGGAGAAAGAGTTTGAATCTGAGACACAATGGATTGAAGAGGAAAACCTTATCCACTACTTACATCAGCGTTTACACGTTTGGCAATGGATAGATAATCTACATTTAAATCACATAATGATGGTGAGGAGCATGGTCAAGGTATGTAACCCTAGCCTTTGCCCCAAGCCCATATATGTACTAGATTTATTAAACTCATGAGTTATGATATTTCCGTATTTTTAAAATAAGTTAGGAAAGAACAAAAAATTTCATATGCGCAACACAAACAAAAAATTTCATATGTGCACCTCGCAATTTTTTTTTTCTATCTTTATTTTTTCACTTAATTGTCAAAATTTTGTTTGGTATAGACAATTTTCACCGTTGAGTAAGTGTGTCAATTTTTTGGGTGTGACAGTCACACACCACTTGATGTTACTAACATATACTATGTCCTCAGTTTCACAGATTGTCATATTCCTCACATGTCATTAATCTATCTGAAAAATATAAATTGTGATCAAGAGATCAAAATTTATGCAAATTAATAACAGAGTTTGAATAATGAATGCATGAAAGAGATCATGGATCGTTAGCATCAAAATTTCAAACAGAGAGGACAAGAAGAGGATGAATAATTGAATATTTAAATTGTGATATATGATGATAACCCGAACTATTATCCAAGGAAAGCTCGACTTCTCTCCCTCGATACAAAGATTTGAAATGATCAAATCCCCAGTTGACTTCATAGTTCTCATCATAGAAAATATTGTCACGTGCAAGCATCCCACCAACAAGTTGGAGAATTAACACAAGGAAACCCAACACTGGAAAATCCATTTTAATCCAAAACCCCTAGTGCCCCTATAGTGGTGGTGGTGCAAGCTATAAAAGCATATATGTCTATTTTTATATGTGTGTGTGTCTCTCTCTCTGCGTGTGTGAGGTTTAAACGTCTTCCTGTAAAAAATCCAAATTAAAGAGAAGCAGAAAGTGTGTGAACCATCATTCTCTCTACCTTACAGCTGATCTGTTTCCCACACGCTATTGACTTCTCCGGATATTCTATCTCCATAACAAACTACATCTCGTATTAATTTATATATAATCAAAAGAGGCCATTCAAAAATTGTAAACGAGTAATATATGTTTATTAATTAGTTCATAAGTTTGTATATATACAAACGATACTAGAGGAGGAGGAAACAAACAAATAACATCGGGTGCACGAGTAAACGCTTTTAATTAATTAAGATGTTATATGCTTCTTGCAAATAAGTTATGTTATTTAGAAGCATCCTGTAATAAATGTAGGTCTCACATAAATTGGTATGTTCCACCTTCGTTGAAGAGTATCAATTTTGTGTATTGTTATTAATGTTGGAGAATAGAGTATCACAATGACAAAATACAATACAACTTATACATGGTATATTTCACCCTAGACCCTACAATCACCGAGGTCTGTTATAATAAACCCTACATCTGACCATTTACATATACACATCATCAATATTTTTCCTGGTGTGCTCCTCTCCCTTCAATGGAAATTCACCATGTGTGGAAGAATCTCCAAATCTAATCAGTACGTTAAAATGATGAACAAAAACCCTGTAACCTTCGTCAAGAGGTTCTGTGCAGCGATTACAGATGTAATCCTTCTTCTTCCCCAATAATGAACAAATTATCTTTGGCTTATAGGATGTGAAGATTCCTCAAACCATAAGCCAATTTCCATCTCTTGTTAAGCCAAAAACAAGGCAAAGATTGGTAGTGAATATCGTGATGGAGGAGAAATTAATGTAGAAAATGTTAAAAGGGATATTTTCAGTGATTAAACTTAATTGACAGTACACAAGAATATATATAGCACAGAGGCTCATTACATCAGTACCCTTATCTTCTACACCTAATTACACAAATACCACAATTAACTATTTACTGTTGTAACTAACTTGTGACTGGTTTAGCTTTCTCAATACACCCCCTCAAGTTGAGCTTGGGATCAACTGAGGAAGCTTGGATTTAAGATGCTGAAATCGACTTTTGGAAAAAGATTTTGTGTGAATGTCAGCTAACTGATCCTGACTGCAAACAAAGTTAACCTTGATGAGATTAGCCAAGACCAACTCTCGAATATAATGATAATCGATCTCCACATGTTTGGTTCTGGCATGGAATACCGGATTAAAAGCAAGGGAGATTGCTGAAATATTGTCACACCAGAGGGTAGGAACCTAAGAGAGAGGGAAACCAATGTCACGGAAGATTTTGCATATCCAAGTCAGTTCGGCGGTAGTGTGTGCAAGAGAACGGTATTCTGCTTCCGTTGATGATCGTGTCACAATAGCTTGTTTCTTGGCACTCCAACTGATTAGGTTGGATCCCAGAAAGACATTGTAACAACTAATGGAACGTCTATAAAAAAGACAGCCAGCCCAGTTTGCATCTGAGAACGCGTTAAGATTAGTTGCACCATTTTTGAACCATAGTCCTTCAAACACAGTACCCTTGAGATAACGAAGAACTCGTTTTGCAGCTTGCATGTGTTGGTCTCGAGGAGCATGCATGAACTGACAGATTTGATTCACAGCAAAAGAAATATCGAGACGCGTTCATGTCAAATATTGTAAACCACCTGCAATAGATCGATACTCAGTTGGATTGGACAAAAGAGGACCAGTGTGATCCAATTTATTAGAGCCAAGTGGAGTGCAGCTAGGCTTTGCACCATCCATATTGGTTTTTCTGAGAAGATCTAGTAAATACTTGGTTTGATGAAGGAAGAGACATGTGGATGATCATTGAACCTCTAATCCCAGGAAGTAGTGCAATGGACCCAAATCTTTGACTGGAAAAATAGCACTGAGTTTTTGAATAAATAGATTGCATAAGGAAGAGTCAGGTCCAGTGACTAATATGTCATCGACATATACAAGGACCATGACAGGAGTTGTACTGTGAAGAACAAATAAGGAAGCATCTGAGGAAGATTGCTTAAAACTAAGCTGAATAAGAGCTTGAAACAGTTTGTCAAACCAAGCTCAAGGTGCTTGTTTGAGACCATAAAGGGATTTCCGTAATTTGTAGACATGATGTGGCATACTGAGATCAGTGAAACCTAGAGGCTGCTGCATGTATACATCTTCCTTTAAATCACCATGAAGAAAGGCATTACTTATGTCTAATTGATTTAAAAACCAATTGAACTGCACAGCAAGTGACAAAATGACTCTAATTGTGACTGGTTTAGCCACAGGACTGAAGGTTTCTTGAAAATCAATTCCTTCTTCCTGATGATACCCTTTTGCAACCAGACGAGCTTTAAATCTCTCGATAGTACCATCAGGTTTCTTCTTTATTCGGAAAACCCACTTGCAACCAACAACATTGTAGGAGGAAGATGGAGGAACAAGTGTCCAAGTTCCTGTTGATTGTAAGGGGTTGAACTCATCTTGCATGGTAGATTTCCGGTGAGCATGTTTAGATGCTTGCAAATATGTATTTGGAACAAAGTCAATACCAGATGGAAGAGGATGTTTGGTAGCTGCATATACTTTGGGCTTGAAGATACCAGCTTTAGAGCGAGTGATCATAGGGTGAGTATTGGTAGGGGGTAAGGAAATAATTGGTGCATTGGAAGAGAGTGATGCAGCATGCGGAGATTCTGTATTGGAATGGGACCTTGAGAATGACCAATGTGTGAACCTAAAGAAGAACAATCAGAATTGGATCTCAAATCTGGAACTGAAGATCCAGAAGGAACACCAATTCTATTAGGAACGGAGAACTGCAGATCCATGGGAGCTGAAATAGATTCTGAAGAGATAACTAGACTGGTGGGAGGAGACTGAAAATGATATGTTGCTTCATCAAACTGTACATGTCGAGAAATATAGATACGACTAGTGACTGGGTCAAGGCATCGATAAACCTTGTGTTATAAACTGTATCCCAAAAAAACACAGTTTTTGCTTTTAGCGTCCAACTTGGAATGAGTATAAGGTTTGAGCCACGGGAAACATCTACAACCAAAGACTTTAAGTCGGGAGTAATCTGGTGGCCTGAAAAATAACAATTCCCAAGGAGATTTAGAGAGTCCAGAGATTGGTAATCTGTTAATAAAGTACACAGTTGTGGAGAAAGCTTCCACCCAATAGAGATGTGGAATATTAAAAGCAACAAGTAATGTTCTGGCAGTTTCCACAATGTGTTTGTGCTTTCGTTCAGCACAGCCATTTTGTTCAGGGGTGTGAAGACATGTTAAGTGATGAACAATGCCATAAGTATGAAGAAAAGACTGAAACATAGCACCAATGAATTCACCCTCGGAATCTAAATGCACAACCTTGATTTTATTTCCAAGTAGATTATCCATATATTGTTTGAATACAACGAAAGTAGAATAAGCATCAGATTTAGCCTTTAATGGAAATAACCAACTATATCTACTGTAATCATCTACTAGCAACTAGTAGTACTTAAAACCACTAGGTGAAGTGATGGAGGCAGGACCCCAAAGATCACAGTGTAACAATTGGAGGCTTTGAGTAGTTGTAGAACTAGCAGATCCAAAAGGAAGCTTGTGACTTTTAGCTAAAGCACAATCTGAATAGAAAAGATCACTAGTAGTCCTGCCTTGCACCAAGCTTATTGCCTGAAAGAACCTTGCGAAAGATAGAAGGAGATGAATGACCCAACCTTCGATGCCAAATCTGTACAGTAGCTTTGACACTTATGAAAGCCGAGGGTGATGAAGAAGCGGGATGACTAGAGCTTTAAAGAGGATAGAAACCATCTTTAACCTGTCCCCGCAAAAGCGTCTTCCCCAAAACATGATCCTTTACAGTGGATCCATCAGGGTCAAGAGTCAAGGCACAATTATTATCTTTTAAAAATTGGTAGGCGGATAATAAGTTGTGTTTCATAGCAGCTACATGTAATACATTACTCAACTTAAAGGAAGTATGAGATGTATTTAAAGAAGGGGTACTAATATTGTGAATAGACAGACCTTTACCATCTCCTATATAGACTTTGTCTTCACCAGTGTAGGGAGAGACGACTAAGAGATTGGTAATGTCATTTGTGATATGTGATGTGGGGCCAGAGTCTAACAGCTAAGATGGGGATGGTTTGGACGAGTAGTGAGCACAAAGAGCTGCAAGTTTGGCTAGTAGCACCCGTCCAAAAATCTCAGGATTCATCATGTCAAAACAGTCAATGGCTTCATGGCTGGTAGAGCCACAGATTTGACATGTGTTCTTGTGAGTAGATGAAGAGCCTTGGTTGGTAGACCGGGAGCCTGGATAAGATGCATGAGATTGACCTTCACGATAAGTACCAGTTTAGTGTCCACGATTAGTACGAAAATTGTGATTACATCTGGAAACATTGCAATTGTTTCTGCCTTGATTAGAATTGTAACGGAAAGAAGATTGAAAGGGTTGACTATATGCAGCAAAGGCCTGTGGAGAAGGCGTTGGCAGTAAAGGTGCCTGGGATTGAACAGAGAACGCCTGAAAAGGCTCAGTAGCAGCGGTGGACAGAGTTTGCCTGCGACGAGCCATGGAGATCTCTTTTGTCAGCAACAGACCATGCAATTCATCAAGAGAAGTAGAAAACAAACGCAACATGATGGAGTCAATAAAGAACTCGAATTCATCAGGAAAACCGTGAAGTGTTGCAGCAATTAGATCACAATCAGATATAGTTGCGCCAGCAGCATTGAGAGAATCTGAAATTTCCTTGATTTGTTGTAGATATTCCGAGATCGATTAAGAGCCTTTTTTAATTGATTGAAGACGAGAGCGAAGCTGGTGGACATGAGCTTCAGAAACTCCACCAAAACGTTGTTCAAGCTTCTGCCAAAGCTCTCGAGATGTGGAAACACCTACTGTGAAGGGAATGAGATCTTCAGATAAGGTCGAGTTAAGCCAGATCAAGAGATTTTGATCTTTTTCAAACCACTGCTCAAATGCTGGATTCAAGGATCAATCAGGAAGAAGTGGAGCCGGACATGGCTCAGTACCATCGATGAGACCAAGAAGTTTGTACCAGTGCAAAATATGAGCAAATAACGCACGCCATGGGAGATAATTGGTGCGTTTGAGTTTGATTGGCATCATGCTACCACTATTTTGAATCGTAAGAGACATATACGAGTTCTGAGGTAGAGAATTTGCAGAAAAATTAGGGTTTGGTAATAGTGGTGAGTTAATCGGAGACGAAGAGTGAGAGGGGGAAGCCATGATATACAGAAGCAAGATTCGAGATTTGAGAAAAGAGAAATCGATCAGGAAATCGAGCGAGAAATCGATCAAAGATGGAGAGCACAAAATCGATCAAGAAATCGAGCGAGGAATCGATCGAGAAATGAAAGCGGTGAGAAGAAGAAAATCCAGATATCACCGACTCAAAGACGTCATTACCGATCAAGAACAGTGATCAGAATACCAAATCAACGAAGAACTTCAATCAAATTGAACAGAAATCTGAGAAACTGAGCGGAAGAAATGGAGGATCGAGGAATGCCAGGAGGAGGTTGGCGATGAAACCATGTAGAAAATGTTAAAAGGGATATTTTCATTGATTAAACTTAATTGACAGTACACAAGAATATATATAGCCACAAAGGCTCATTACATCAGTACCCTTATCTTCTACACCTAATTACACAAATACCACAATTAACTATTTACTGTTGTAACGAACTTGTGACTGGTTTAGCTCTCTCAATAATTAAGACCACGACAAACTGAGGAAGACGCACCAATGCAAAAACTGACGAAGAAACCCAAACCCTGACGGCAATAGTTAAACGTGGAAATCATTTAGCTTCTAGTAAAAACAAACTAAACATAATTATTGCTGATGTGTTATATTTTAAATCGTTAGATTACTTACCGGTTTGGATGCTGTGAAATACGGTCGAATGCTCAAAGTCTAAATGTAAAGACTCGGTTTTCGTCCAAAAAAAATGTAGAAACTTAAGACTCCATTCAGGTTAGCTTTGAGTAAAGTTTGACGTCCGAAATAATTAAAGAGGACTAAATATTGTTGTTTGTATCAAAACAACCGAATAAGTATAAGCTTGCAAAGCAAGCCAGGGTACGCTCATGCATAGTTTGACCAAATTATGTAGTTATAATTTTTGCCATTTGACGTGTTAAGTGACAAAATAATGCAATCCAAAATGGCCTAATATTGAAATTTAGCGAAACGTCTCACTATGAGAATCTCGTTTCATTTACACTCGGCTAAATCTTGAACCTTCTCGTTGACCGTTCGCTTTCTCAGTAGCAAAAGTGCTTCTCTTTGCCCCTTAAGCAGAAGGACAAGAAAGAGATATTTGGTTTTATTGTTCTCTGACATCTGCGCTCGTCAAGCCAACTTTGCATTTTGAGAGGTGAAACAGCGGTTGAAAGTAGACATTTCAAAGTGGCAGCATCAAAGATATATTTATATATACATCGTCACTATTATTCTGGACTGCATTCCGATAAGTGGCCTGCTTGAAAGAAAGGGTGTATATATGTATCTTTTAACAATATTATTTTGTTACTCAATAGCAAGAACAATCTTGTACAAGTTTTTATCGAAGTTTTTGGACGTTGCATAATAGGGTTTTCGTACAAAAAAAGGTTCTGACGTCACAACTTATTGCGGTTTGGCTGTCCTACTGTTGTAATTAGGCAATAAAGGTTACTAAACCCACATTAACAACTGAACCATTTTACTTAGCATTCCTTAAAGTCTCATTTCTGAGACAAATAAATAGAGAAATATATTCGTAATCATAAAAGGCATAGTAATCCTTACACCATATCTGGACAAAAAGCCTAATCCTTCCTTAGTTAACTAGTTTGTGTTCTGTTCAAAAGAAAAAAAAAAAAAAAAAACCTAGTTTGTGCATGTTTGTCTTAAACTCTTTTGACAAACGATATGGATAGTTACAAAGATACTTAATTATCCCGTTGATCATTTGTAAAAAATAAATAAATAAATAAAAACAATAGAAGACTAATTAAAAAACTGATAAAAGACGGCTTTTTGTTTCAACAACTTTTTGTTTCAACAAAAAACTGGCTGTCTGTAATTCATGTTCAGCAGATGAATGTACTTTGTTATTCAAGTCATCAAATTGCAATGGCATAGCTGCCTAAGTATGATAAAAGTAATTAATTAGTCAATTAATCATGCATCACATACATATAAAAATTTCCCAAATTTCTAACCATCCTATTTAATAAGTAAAAAGCATGTTCTTCAGAAAATACCAATAAATTTCATCTGAGATAGCTACAGCACCAATTGGTACTTTATTACAAGTATTATTTCTCCCTTTATTCTTTTGGTAAATTGTTTCCCTTGTTTATTTGTATTCTAATATTTCTGACCATTATGTAGCCGACCATTTTTCTGAATAACGCACTCTCGGGGAAGCCCGGAAGGGTACTTAGCCTTGTCATCACAGTAGTCGTAGTTCATGTATTTCTTTCTCACATTCTCATATGCCTTCTGTTGGGTAGAATTTAGGTTCCAATACTCCATGTTGTTCCACCACTGATTGGAGCTATAACATTCTTCAACATCGGCGTTCTGTGCTGAGCACCCACTTATGTCAAATCCTTGGCAGTGAGCTACAAATGGTGCGTAAGTCCAATTTATCTTATGCCCGAAAGTTGCCCAATCTGCAGTCCACAAGGCTGCTTCGATTCGCATTGGCTGCGTCGGGTACGGAACTCCATAGTTTGTGTAATTTTTGAAAACCCTAATTGGGGTGTCATCGATGAAAAATCTGCAAATAAAGAAGAGACTGTAAATTTGGACCTCACGTTTACATGATCGATAAGTAAAGAATAGTCTAACAAGAGAACGATATATTTCATGGTATTGGAGAGATGGGAGATTGATTCTTACACAACTTGATGAGGGTTCCAAATAATTTTGTAATCGTGGAAATTTCCTGCTGGGTCAAACCATAGGTTAATCCTTTGCTCTCTGTCCCCCACACCATTTACAAACACATTTGTTTGCAATGTGATTTGCTGGCCTTCTATGTTACCCAAGAACTCAAAGTCCAGTTCATCATGCTGACTAGCACTAGCCTTTGACATTAGCTGCATATGTGTATGATGTATATTAATTTAAGAAAATTAGATTCCATGGCAACATGAGGATACATCAAAAAAAGGAAAACAAATCTATATTATAATAAAGAGAATTATGGAAAAATATATCTCACATAAAAACTTGTGACAACTCCTGCAGTATTATTATTCCCTGGTATCTTCATCCTCATATGGAAGAACCCAGAACTGTAGTTTAGGTACGAAGCAAATTTACACCCTGCAATGACCAAGTAGCTATTCAAATATTAGAACAGAGGAAAGAGTTCATAAAGCCAAACGTAATTAATCGAAAACACTAATTGCTTTTTTCTTTTCTTTTTTGTTACTAGCTCTTTTATATAAATGTTTTTTTATAGCATGAAAGACTCACAAGTAAGAAGACTTACAAAATCCTTAGTCATCTCACATGTGTTCTAATTTCCTAGAGGTACATTCCATAACATCTAGGGTTTGTTGGACATGTTTTTCAAAAAATCATGCAAAATAGAGACCAAATTATGTCACACAAGGTCGATATATATACCTATAGGGCACATGCCATTTACTTGATAGAAAGAAACGTGATAATCATCATAACTATCAAAATGAAAATATTAAAAGATAGTTAATCATGAAATATCATTCGCATATCTAACAAAAATAAGAAGATGAAGATGATAACCGGAACGATTATCCAACGTAAGCTGGAGTTCTCTCCCTTGATTCAGAGACAAGATGTGATCATTTCCCCATATGAACTCATATTTTTTATCGAAAGCAATGTCATCATTTTCAGCTGCAAATATCTCACCAAGTAGAAGAAAAAACACAGAGATCACTGAAAAAGCCATTAGTTATAAGCTAAACGTGTAGAGGGAGATTGCTATCAGGTTTTAGGTTGTTCTGGTGCCTGTGTGGTTATGGTGGTGCAAGCAATATATATAGATGATGATTTAAGCCGTTGAAGGTTTTCCTAACAACACAAAAAATCCAAAAACGAGTGTGAGTCATATATCATGATCGAGAGTCTTCACCAACTTTGTTACTTGTTACTTGCATGCTTTTGACTTCACCTATTGGTGTTGCTTGGATAAAAGGCCATGGCCCCGCTTCTCATTTCAACTTTTGAAGAGATCTTTCAGTGTGCCTTTGATAGCTAAGTTAAACGGGAAGAATACCGTGTAGTAGGTGTTGGTTGACTCTCACTGGTATGAACAAAAGGAATGTATAATGTGAAAGGTAGATTTTTTTAGACTGGCGTTGAAAATTACTTTGATCCTTTAAAGCTCTATGTCTAGGTAGAAACCTAAATGAAAGAAAAATGCCAAAAGGTAAAAAGGGGAATATGTTTGAGTAACACAACATATGTAGCAAGCTAGTCATAGAATGGTCATCTCTCATTAATTAGTAAAATGTTAATTTTATCTTTAATACATATTATCTACACTGGAATATGATAGTGGACTAAACTTACAATGAGCAGCCATAATATGTCACATCCCAGACCGGTTCCGTCGTAGCACGATATTGTCTGCTTTGGATCCTGGCCATGCCCTCCCATTTTGTTTCTAGGAACTCACATGAGAACTTCCCAGTGGGTCACCCATTCCCAAAAGGCCTCTATATGAAGGTGGGCATGTACATATAAGGCACATCATCCCATCTCCGTTGGTCGATGTGGGATGTTACAATCCACCCCCTTAGGGGCCCAATGTCCTAGCTGGAACACTCGCACCGCACGACAGAATGGCTCTGATACCATTCTATCACATCCTAGTCTTAACTTCGCCGTAGCACGATATAGTTCGCTTTTGGCCCCCGGCCACGCCCTCACGGTTTTGTTTCTGGAAACTTAGATGATAACTTCCCAGTGGGTCACCCATCATAGGATTGCTCTCGCCCGAACTCGCTTAACTTTGGAATTCCGATGGAACCCGAAGCCGATGAGTTCCCAAAAAGTCTCGTGCTATATGGAGGTGGGCATGTACATACAAGGCACATCACCTCATCTCCGTTGATGTGGGATGTTACATAATAATTATATGCATTGTGTACCACTTTTGTATTCACATTGGCCGCCGTAAGAATATTGCAAACAAGAATACAAATTTTTCCATAATATTTTAATATTAAATAAGTATCGAATTCGGATTAGATTTTATTGTATTGAATTGAATTAGTAGCTAGTGTTACACAGAAGAATAATATTGAAAATAAAAAGATAGACAATTTACAGCTTAATTATTTCACTTGGCATTCCTTGAATTTTTCTCTTCTGAGAGAACAATAATCATAAAACAGATATTTCTGAGTCACATTCTCATAAGATCTTTGCTGCTCTGCGGTCAGTTCCCAGTAATCTTTGTCGTTCCACCAATAGTTATGGGATTGAGAAGAGCATTTGGCTCCAAATTGGCATCCATTTATATTAAATTTTGGGACACTTTGGATGTGATCCCTAGCTATCAATATTCTTTGATTGAAATTTTGTTAGTTTTTAGTTTTTGATTGAGGTCCCTGACATTAATGTAATAATGTAAGTTACTATATTTTTTAATTAAAAATTAAAAATTGAAATTTGTAATTGTTTATATTAATGAGATTTTAAATAAAACCCATAATTTATGGTATTAAAAATAATAAAATATAAATTATACTCTCTATTATATTGTGTGTGTGTGTGTGTACACATATATGTATGGGTACATTACCAAAATTAACAAAAAAAGTTATTGTACCAAAACATGGATACATTCTCAAATCAACGAAAAAGAATGTACCCATATAAATTTAAACATGGATTAAAAAATTTGAATGGATTTTATATTAAAAAAAAGGTACATTTTACATATAACAAATTGATATATTTGAGAATGGGTACATTTAAGATTAAAAAATTGTGAATCTTTATATATATATAACTAATAGGTACAAACTTAATTTAATTTAATTTTTTATTATTTTGAAAATGCTTGAATTGAAAATTAATTAGAAGTTTAATAGAGGTGTGAGTATTAAACCCTAAATTAATTACTAATATTTATATTAAAAAACTATATAATAAACATGTAAATTCATTATCACATTAATGCTAGGGACTTGAATCAAAATTTGAGAACTAATAAGGTCTTAGTTAATGAACAGTAAAAACTAGGGACCGGATACTAATTTTTCCTTAAATTTTTGATAATGTGCTTGGAAAGGTGACTGAGACCAATTTACTTTTCTGCCATGTGATGCCCAAGATTCTCCATTCCATGTGCTTCCTTCCACAAACATCTTCAGTTCAGGGTACCTTGCTCCCAACATTGTATTGTTCTTGAACACTCTAATTGGGATGTTATATCCACAAAACACCTAGCATAAAAGCATGTACGAATTATATCAATAAAACTAATCATACCACATCTCTCACTTATTAACATGCTTCACGAACTATATGTAAATTTCACATCTTTTAAAACGTTGGTCAACAAATTAATTAATCTAGCATGCGCGTTTTAGTGTTTACTCTTATTCCGCTATCTATTTTCTGAAAAGTAAACAAAGAATATACATTAAGATTAAACAATTAAGGAACAATAAAGAAAGCTACAGTCTTTTGTAGTATCTGAGTTTGCTTACACTACTTGGCGATAGTTCCATAGGATTCCATAATTATGAAAATCCTCGGTGGGGTCAAACCGAAGATGAAGCCTCTGCTCTCTCTCCCCATTGTCATTTGCAAAAATATTTGTTTGTAAGGTATAATTTGGCCCATCGGTACCCAAGAACTCGAAGTCTAGCTCGTCATGGTTTCCAGGCTTATTATCTGGATGTGAAGTTAACTGCGCATGCCATCCATCAAATCCAAAATCAGTTTTAATAATATTTAATCTTCAAAATAATGCATGCAAGAAGTTAATGCATAGTTTTATGCATGCAACAAATTAAGGAACTTTGATATTAAACCCTAGCTAGGGGGTAGTTGGTGGGCAACTTGCAAAGTTTGTTTGATTTCCAATCACCTTCAAAAAGTAAGGTCATACGATATGCTTACATAAAATGTTGTGACAACTCCTGGAGAATGGCTTGATGGCAATTTCAGCTTCATTTCAAAGAAACCCGAACCATATCCGTTCTTGGAATTAAATCCAGATCCTAGCATGCATTAATATTATACATAAGATTACAATTACCAAACCATGAAAAAGGAGATAATATATTTACCCTAAGTACTGTGAAGAAATTAGATAGAATTAGAACCCGTAGTTTTTTTTTTTTTTTGGGAAAACATTAGAACCCGTAGTTTGGTTCAAAGAAATATGAACATCTCTTCCTTGGTTTAGTTTCAAGAAATGATCATTTCCATATCTGACAACGTAGTTTTGGTCAAAACTAACGTCGTCCTCAGCTGCTTCGCCTACATCATGCTTTCTGACAACTAGTACAACTAGTACAACTAGTACTAGCAAAAATAGCAGAGAATGCCAGGTTATCATGAATACCGATCAAGAAAAATGTTGTAATTAAGCAAAGATATTAAAGAAGTAGCTAGCTAGCTAGGGTTCTGTTTCATACAAGCTCTAATGAAAACTCTATATAGTTTTATTTGTAATAAAACAGATTGTTTAAGAGCTTCGATCATGTTTAAGAGCTTCGATAGATATTTGCAATGTGTGGCCTCTAATTTCATAATTATTTTGTTTAAATCAAGCTTTTGAAATGTTTAATTTAGATTGGAGATAAAAATTTCTTGCTCCAGTCGATGTTAATTATGTTTAATTAACATAATATATATATAATTAGGGTTAACTAGAGACACCTAGACCAACCATGTCAAAGAGAGGAGGGAGGCTGCAGGCGATCACACAAAACAGAAGCATCCACAACCACAGGTGGCACTGGCAGGCGTACGTTTTTATATTTGTCGTTTTTAACATATGTGTTTACAAATTTAGCAGCTGTCGAAGTTTTTATATATAAAAATGATGAGGCATATATGCATCATTTGGAGCTTAGAGTCAAACATAATAACATTAAGTTGACAGTAATATATGTAGATCACTTTATTCAACAATTAGATGGTTGGAATTATTATATTATTAGTTCAGGATTCGTTGTGTATCATTACTTCCCACCTATCTAACAAATTTAATCAAGGTTGTCAATGCAAAACTAGAATAGAAGTCCATGGGGTCTTACCGTTGGTACTCCGCATCTTCACAGAGAATTCAATTCCTTACACATATATTACATATATTAATATATATATATATGTAATATATATGTATATATGTGTAATATATATGTATATATGTGTGTGTATGTATATCGCTCAATGATTATTTATTTATAAGAAACCGATAAATTTATATCTTAATCAAACTCAGCTAGTTAAACTAGTTGCACGTCCAAGCTGAAAGGCTATCCACTAATGAGAATTCAAGTGCTGAAAGAAACACACCCCATTTCAGAGTTTGTGAACAAATTTCAAACTTCAAAAGAGAAATTTTATTTAAATCCATTCAACCACTCAACTTAAAATTTTAAATGTTAATTGTCTATTTTACCCTATTGCATAATTACTATTAAATACAAAATGAAATTAATAATAAAACTCAAATTTATCAATAAACCCAAACATTATAATTAAACCCTACGATCATTATTTGTTTATCATACGTTCATTCCGGCTAAAACCCTGATAGCTCTCATAGAGAAAAATAAGTTTTTCTATTGATGGATGGTGATTTTGAAGTTTTGAATCCTCCAACCAAGGTATGACTCAATTTATGATTTTTTTTTTTGTTCGTTTGATTTCAATTCTTTAGAGTTTAGAAGATGAGATTGCAGGAACGCCAGGCTATATGGCTCCAGAGACATTTCTTACTGGAATGGCTAATGTTGAGATGGATGTTTATGCATTTGGTGTTCTTATGCTAGAAGTTGTATGTGGACGAAGGCCTGGTATTCAAAACGAACAGACCAACTACAACAACAGTATAGTATATTGGCGGCGGGATCTTTATAGCAAAGGAATGATCCTTGAAGTTGTTGACTCTAGAATGGATGGAGACATTGACGAGGATGATATGGCATGCGTGCTGATGTTGGGGTTGTCTGTGAATGATGGGTTCACTGGCCTTTTCCCAGTTATGATCTCCAAAAGGACAACCCCATAACTATACACATCGCTTTTCACAATGATTTTTAGCATGCAAGCATATTCTACAAGTAACAATTGAATTATCAACTTTTGAGTTGTGGAAAACCATGCAAAGAAATTAGGCCTAAACACATCAAATTTAGCTTCTAAAAATCAAATGGGTGTAAAAATAAATCCACATATTGAATTGGGGTTTTTGGGGTCTATTAGATATCAAATTTGGGTTTAAAGAGATATTAATAGTTTAGTTAAAAATCAAATGGGTGCGAAGAGTAAATTAGGTGTAGAAATATGTTAGATGGGTTTAAATAAAATTTCCCCTTCAAAAACATGAAAACAAAAGAATGCCCTAATAAAAAGAATATTTCCAATATAAAACAAAAAGAATGGCTTAATAATAAAAAAGAAAGTGAAATACAAAGTGACAGTCCAAAGGAAAAAGTGATTCGGTTTAAAGAAGGGTAGTAATGTGTTGGGAAAAAAAGAAAGAAGGGTAGTAATGTGATAACCTTGGATGTTCAAGTGACAAATTGATAAATAAGAAAAAAGCAAATTTAAGTTGGGTTATGTGTAGCAAAACAATCCAATTAATTAGGGTCGGGCCAAAAGCTAATTAAAAACTTCAGTAATCTCATCCATCAAGATCCTAAATAATCCATCCATATGGTTTAATCTTGTCCAAAAAATACTCTAACAAAAAATTTTTGAGGTGCAAGTTGCCATATCTCCTCATACATTTGCCTGAGACACAATAACATTCTATGTGAACCACACGCCCTAGATTTCAAGCTCACCCAATTTCTCATGGTTCTACTTCCATCCACAATAGGGCTTTGGTCTGACATTAAATGTTTTAGGCGTGCACGGAAGAATTTCTTCAAACCAACCTGCACAATCAAATTGTGGTTGACTTTATACTTAATAGTGGATGAGATTTACAAAGAATTAAATCCAATCAGAACTCCCCAAAACTTCTTTTTAATAGAAAATACACATCATCATAAAGAAGAAAAATTTTTAGTTATGACGGAAATACAGATGATACATAAACCACGTGTTTTTACATATAAAAAGGGAAGAAAAAGCATGAAATTGATTCTTGAATCCAATCCTACTGCAAAAGTCCTACACGTGCGCAATCTCACCCGTCGGATTCCCTCTCAATCGATTTCAGCCGGCAATTCTGATTCACATCACACAGCTTTTTACCTTTTACAGCTACAAACAAAGATTCCGTCTCTCTCTCTCTCTCTCTCTATCCACTTATGTAGCGTTTATATTACGCTTAGGAACTCCTCTCCTGCTTTTTAAGTTTGAAGCATCAGAGGGCTTTGTGTATGTGTGCCAAAGAGTAATTTAGGGGTGAGAGAGAGAGAGAGAGAGAGAGAGAGAGAGAGAGAGAGAGAGAGAGAGAGAGAGGGCCACATTGTAGGAAGATGTCAGCAACAGGTGGAGGTGGCAGTGGAAGTGGTGGTGGGGGGGAGGCACAGAAGAAACCCCTGGATCAGTCTGCCCACATTAACCTCAAAGTCAAAGGGCAGGTATACATACAACATACAACATATTCACAAAAGAAATTTACCTATAATGGAATATTATTAAGTCGATATCTCAAGTCAATCACACACTGTCATGCGTTAGTGATTTACTTGGAATATCGTGATGGTTACATGCTGTTATAGGTAAGTTCTTCTCCATATTCACATGTTTGCATGTGAATATTTTCATGATTGTTACTTGTTAGTGATTTTTGAAGATTAATTTGCTAATTTTGATAATAATTCTTCCTAGTTTTGTTAAATTTATAGGATGGTAATGAAGTGTATTTTAGAATTAAACATACGACCCAGCTGAAGAAGCTCATGACTGCCTACTGTGATCGGCAGTCAGTTGACATGAACTCGATTGCCTTCTTGTTCGATGGCCGGAGACTCCGGCCTGAGCAGACTCCAGAGGAGGTTAGATATTGAGCAGTTTCTCAATCTGAACTCAGTATTTGTTTATTTTTAATTGAGTTTGCAGTTCACATTTTCCTTTCTTTTGGTGTTTTTTTTAGCTCGAGATGGAAGATGGCGATGAGATTGATGCCATGCTGCACCAAACTGGAGGGTGATCATGAAAGTTGTTGAAACCCTTTTTTTCTTATAACTTATATATTTTGTAGAAAATTATTAAGTCTTAAGTTTCTGTTTGTTGGTAATAATTGTGACGAAGTTGTGATGAGATGAATATTTGAAATAAACGTGTTCTCGAGGGCGAGATCGAGAGCTACTGTGTTAAACGATTGAATATCATGACTCAAAGCATAAGACATTCTGAGAAGTATGATATATTATGATCCAGAAAACATTATATTCTGAGAAGTATACGTCCCTAGATACCGAAAACAGTTGTTGCTTCGAGAAACCATGTAAGACGGAAAATACAGGGTAGACGGAAAAAAAATACACAGTTTTGAATGTCCGATGATAATGAGCATTTCCCGAGCAACGTATGTGATCCTTTTGCATAATATCCTAAGGCAATGGATGAAAAACTAAGCCTGCGTAAGGGGTGGCTGAACTCAAGCCGGTAACTGGAGCTTTTTGTTGTTTTTCCAGCTGCAGATCACGATTACACAAATATATAAGAGGGAAGGCTCAGATGAATGCAAACTATTACCGTAATCTAAACACATTTTTGTAACATCTAAGCATATTTACCTGTGGAAATAATAGTAGAAGAAGTCGGCATACAGCAGTGTTTGAACAAGCCCGGAAATCCACGCTGCAACGGCCAAAGAACATAATCATATAGTTTATGGTGGAAAGGAAAAGTGTACCCAAACAAGAAAGGGCAAATCTTCCAGGAAGATGCTGATGAGCTCAACTTTGGCTTCATTAAGTGGTATAGGAACTCAGAATGTGAAGGCTTACACTCAAAATAACACTCCCCACATTAAAAACAAGAAAATTATCGAAATTCACAAATGAACAAAATTAAGTTTACATTCTGACAATTCGATAAACCATACAAAAGTAGAAGAAACAAGTTGGGAACAAGTGCTTTCGAATTAAAGAGTAAACAGTTGCTAATATTAGTAACACATATGCACATATTGGTCTAAGCCCTAATTTTAACAGATAATTCACAGGAAATAGAGGCACTACTTATTAAAGCAATAGGTCTATGAATCGCCCTAACAAGTACAAGTGTACAAGTATATATATAAAGAAATTGAACGTTATTCATATAAGTAATAATTCAATACATGAATGTTATAGTGGCATGTATGCTTGTCCTGTATATTTATAGTCCTTAGACGCAAACTCCACAAGATAACCACCGGCAACTAAACATCAAATGATGCCTACATGCGTGCAGATATCACACGAGATTATACTTCATAGTTCTGCCTCCACTGAGCATATCATCAAGCACAATACGTGTGCATCACATCACAACATCTCTACCTAATACCTCTATCTTTACAAAATAATGGAAACAGAAAATATGCAAGTGAATGCATACGAGAACACATGCACAACAAGGGGCATCAATACAATACCAGAGAGAGAGAGAGAGAGAGAGAGAGAGAGAGTCATACGTTCCAATGAACATAGTGTGGTTCAGTGAAGTAGCGGTAAATCCAGTTGAGAATGTATAAAGCTCGGTATGCGCTGCAGAAGTATTTAAGCACATCAATTCAAGAACCAAAACAATATATCATAAGACGCTATCAGCATACATAAAATCTTGTAGGTAGCATATCGCATTAGAAACAGTTTCGAATGGTACTGTAGCAGAGGATATTTCTATGCCAAATATTCACAAAAAACAAAAGAAAAAGGAATTAACTTATAGAAAGAATCTTTAGCTAAGAAGAAGAGCCAATTTGAGCCGCTATGCATTAGGAAATGAAAGAAACTAAAAATCTGATATGGTATGACAAATCAAAAGTTTGTTTTGAAAATATATACCCAAGAAGTAACACATATTGGCCTGTCAAATTGTCAATGTTTCTCGTTCTCTGCAACAGCACAAGCTGAGGAAGTATAGCAACGGCTTCTAAATATAACGAAAATGTCCACAAGACCTGATCCACATTATCAAAGAGCATATAAGGAAATTAAGTAGGATTAAACTAAAAGATGCAAAGCCAGTCATAAAGTTTCAATTAGTGCTTAGCAGTGACAGGCACCAAATATGAATAAACAGAAACTAAAAGAACATGCAAACGGACCTCCTTGAAGGTGAATTTCTCATTGATTATTAGAGCTAAGAACACACTTGGCAGCAAAAGAAACACATGACGGAAGGTGTCTTGGTCTTTATCATAAGATCTGCGAACCATCTTGTGCTCCCTAATGTACCAAACAATTGAAAATGAGCTCCCCAAGAATACCAACTTCATGACGGTATTATACAGAGATATAAAGTCGGTGAAAATGTCCAGGTAGCGAGTAGCGAAAACAATGGCATAGAGTTCTTGAGTCTTCAAAGAAATACCTGGACACAACGAAACACATCAGAAAACAATGCTTGCGGTACTTGTAACCAAACAAACGACCCGAATAAGGACCATTTCTGAATATTTCGGATTGCGAAAAATGCAACAATAAACCAATCCCCCATAACCCAAATACTCAATGCCAACAAAAAAATTCAACTTTATCCCTCATTCTAAATTATCAAAAACCCCAACATTTTGGAATTTTTCCACTGTCAGTTATAACTCAGAACCCAAATGCTATTTTCAGCAAAAATCAAACTTCAAATGCTTAAATACATGATTAAATACAATGTAATACAAGATTAAATGAATTAAAACCTCAAATCTCAACTGGGTTCAATTCAAAACAGAATTTAAATGCAGCTAAACACGAAAAAACATTGCTTGCAAAGCATTTCAATTACAAAATGAATATGCAGAGAGAGAAAAGATGGGAAATGGCGGTACCGGCGCACGATTTGATAGTGTGGATCTTGAGGAGCAAGACGAGGACGCTGGCCAGGTGGGTCATGTCGCCCGCTAATCTGAATATATTCATTTTTGCTGGATCCGAGTGACCGGTATGAATTCGGATCTCTCTGGTTTAGCTGGTGAAACGAAATGGGTTTACTGTTTGCTTCTCTACCAAGCGGTGTCGAAAGGCACAGAGAGATACAGCAACTGCGTTAAATCTTTTTCCTCTGGTTTATTCGTAGTTTAAGATTCGGGTTTCAGTGACGAAGTCTCGGCGGGTAGATCTGTTTGTACAGTTCTTTTTCTTCTGCTTCAGCTGTGACTTTGGGCCTCCTAAATACTAAACGAGCTTTTTCTACAGTCATGGGTCCTTTTGTATTTTGGGCCTTCTTTTTCCAACCCCCAACCCAACAAATAAAAGGTATAGGGTTTGTTTGGTATCATATTTGAAATTTTTTATCATGTCTTAAAACTTTTCTTGAAAATTATTTTCTTTAAGACTTAAAAACTTGTTTGGTATGCGATGTAAAAATTTTAAATCTTATAACTTAAACTGGATAAAGAGATCCAAAAAGAGGGAGTCGAGGGTAGGGATGGGCAACGGTTATGGCGGATTGAGAGAGGAGAAAAGAAAGTAAGACATGATTGGAGGAATGAGAAAGAAGAGAGAGAATCAAAGGAGATAGAGAGGAATATGAGTGAGAGAAATAACCGAGAGAATAAAGAGAGTAAATTGGAGGAGAGACGAAAAAGGTTAAAAAAAGAGAGAAGGGGAAGATAGAAAGAAGAAAAGAGAGAGAGATTTGGAGTGAGAGGGGACAAGGAAGAGAAAATAAAGGAGTGAGTTTGTTTAAAAACTTACTTTTTGTTTTTTTAGAGAATAGATTATATTTTTGAGTTAGTCTTGAGTTTAGTTTTTTTAAATAGTCATACCAAACAAGTTTTTAAGGCCTAAAACTTGAAAATTGTTTTTGAGTTTAAAAGGTTGGGTTCAAGTAAAGTACCAAACAGATCCTAAATTTTTTGTGCAAGACATCCATTAAAGAACACAGTGTGTTAAAAACGTAACCTTGTAGGATATTGTAAAAAATGCATCGATAAAACACCATTGCATTTTGTTTGCAACAATGATTTTTTTTTTCTTTTTAAAAGGGGGACAACGAGTGGTAAGTCATGATTATCCACCTCTTTTGGGGCCGAGAATACTCACAGAGGCATTCGAGCCTCCTCCTGGCTACAAGTATGGTGTCCACACCAACAGCGAGTTTCAAACTCGAGACATCTAGTTTTTAGTTTGAAAGAAGCATCTCAGTCCGTTATTTACCACTAAACCACCAACTCGTGATTTGTTTACAACAATGATTAGATCTATTACGAATGACATATCAATAGTATGCTCATTTTATAAACGGACTAATCAATCAACTTCCACAAAATAATTCTCTTAAAAAAATAAGACTTGTATCTTTTAATTGTCAATTGATCGTTAACAAGCCTTTTACGGTTAATAATGAAAATAATTTAAGTTTAGAGTGGCCCTTAAACTGTTTTGAACATTTTTACGGTTAAAACGACATAAAGTGCGAATCAAAATCCATGAAATGAAAATCAAAATTATATCAAAGATGAAATAAACTGCAAGGACGAAGTGAAAAGTTGGACACACAATAAGGACAAAAAATGTGAAGCTTCGTGCCATTGTACTTACATGATATATAGTGAAAGAATAATTCTCAAGACACCCAAATAATCCCAAAAATTAGGGTGCAAGTGTGTTTTATGTTTATATCGGGGTCCACCATGAATTACATTATTAGGTGGTTAAAAATTTAGGAAAAGCTTTTATGCCTATAATTTCTACTATAAGAGTTTTGATTATTTTTATGTCATATCATGATAAAAGATATTTGTATTTGATAACGAAATTCAATCGCACTTACAAGCCCATTATTCAAAACAACCCAAATAAGGTACATTTTCTCCCTTTCGATTTATCGTTGTGTGTTGCAATCGGTGTAGAGGCACGTTGATGAAAAACCTAATAAATCTACATGTTTATTATGGTATAAAATCCATAAGTAGATAAAACAAAAAAAAATACAAGTCACAGTCACATGGTTTTGATTACAAAGTAATCATTTTATCATAAAGATAAGTCCTCCAATGTACGTTCAAAGAGATACGTGATATAACAACCTAACAAACCTACATGCTTATTATGGTACAAAATTCATAAGCCAACGTAACAAAAAAAGGAATCTCGATCACATATATTCGACTACTGCATAATTGTGGCTTAATCATAAACCGTTAGATCAAATCTTAAGGTGGATGACC